CCCCAAAACCCCAAAACCCCAAAACCCCAAAACCCCTTACCAACCTAATTCACTGAATTATCAACTCCTTAGTAGGATAGCTTGGATAAGCTGAGATTTGGCAACTTGAATTCTTTGTGAGGAGAGTTAATCAGTTGGAGTTTGGATTGGTACTGCTGAGCCTTGGTGGGGTAATCGACGGCATATGGCTTGTGGCCTAAGGGGTGAGGGAGGATAGAGTACCAATGGAGTTTTCTTGGTACGGAATGATGTTTTTCAGGCTTTTCTCCATGAAAATGTTCTTTTTGTCGTTAATTAGGTTCAATTTATGCAATCCCTTTGGCTGCCACTCTAAAATTCTCTCCATACTATTGACTTTCTTCAAATGGGTTGAATTCCTTGACTTATAAAAAGTGCTAGGCTTTTCGGTTCTAGTGGGAGAAAATGTATCTAACTTATCCTCTGCTTTTCTGAACGTTTTATAACTTTGCAGCATTGGATTGTTTCTTGTTAATTCTTTATCAACTTCATATCTAAAGACATCTGGTTGAGTAATATCAATAGAAGAGCCTGCATATGGAACTTTTTCACGATCGTAAACCTTTCTAACATTCTTGTGGACCTTATTGATTTCGCCACTCATTATAGAGACTCCTCTATTCCCTTTAGGCTTGTGGATAAGCTTAGTGTCATACATCTCGTTAGTTGGATGTGATAAGCTCTGAGAGAAATGATTTTCCTCTCTTGGTGGATGATGCACAGGATTCACATCTTGATCATCTTTGAGGTCATCATACCTAAGACTTTCTTTCCTAAAACTTATAAGCATTTGTGGTGAGAAGACTTACTGTTTCGTCTGGCTAAATTCACGCTCTCTGTCCTTCTTTGTTTTAATGGAATAATGGCCAAAGACGTTTCTATTTTTCAAATTTAGGACTCAAATTCTGCAATTGAAGAGTATGTTGTGCCACAAGGAAAGGATCCTTAAATTGTGCTTGATCCATTCTGTCAGCCATAGAATCAGTTAAAGGAATTTTGTGCACATATTCCATATCAATGCCTTTCAACAGTGAATTAAATTTGCCTTCTTCTTCCTTCTTCAAATGGTCTTTCCAAAACTGATCTTTTCTATTAGGCACGCCTGACTGGTACACAAGATTACCCTCAATCTCCTTCATTCTTGCAATATTGTTACCGGTCTTGAACTTCTTTTTGGCCTTTTTGTTAGATCTCATCTCTATTTTATAACTCACTCCTGTGAATAACTTGGAAAATTAATATAATGAGAGATTTCGATGGGATTATTAATGAAAAATATGCCAATTTTGGTATTAAAACCTCCTAGTTTAGACCTTGTTAGTATCCTAATAAGTTCTACCAGAAATATTTGTATAAGAGGATATATAAAGCTTAGGGTCTCCGTTTTAGTAAAAAAGAGAGTAATAAACCGACGGAATATTGTAACAGTTGGTTCTAAGTTGACTGCTCGGAAAAGATAGACTAGCTATGTTAAAGAATAGTTCAGGTTGGGAGTTCCTTAAATAACATTATGCCAATTGAGCTATGTCACGCAGTATTCCATAAACTAACTTACTTGGACTGACTTATTTAATCTTTTATAATAATTATGCAAAATGGGGTTTTGGGGTTTTGGGGTTTTGGGG